ACAGTGTGTTTGTGCCATTTATAAGCCAGCTATCATGACAATGAACTGTTCCCGCTTGCCATTAGGTATCTGTCGGTGTTTTACCGATACTTGCGCAAAATTTAATGATTATCCGTATTTCCAGACGTTTAGCGTTTGACACTTTCATGTAATGACAGTATTGACAACCACACGGAAATATTTGTTTACGACCGTAACGTAATAGGAGAAATGACATCATATTTTCAAGTGACGTCAGGAATACATATACACACTTTTCCCTGAATTTTGACGTTTATATGTAGTATTTAAAGGATTCTGTGATGCAACAAATTAATGAACTAACCCAAATCTTTGTCGTGCGCCGATATTACGTTACTAAGGTAACTGTATGACGATTCCTTTTTACGACACGCCGGTTACACGGCTTTTTCTTTTGTTTTCTTTTTTCCGACAAATTTCCCCTTCGAGTGATATATAATTCATGCCTTTTTATCAATAAATCTCACGACAATAACTGTAGTGCACGAATTGTTTGGACAACCCTCGTACTAGTAGATAAAAGTTTTACTAATCCCTACGTAATAATCCCTTTATAATTTTTATTTGTTTGGGTCGTCAGACCAAACAAATAATGGTAGCGAAATTTCAGAGTATACTGTTCTTAATTGCAAATGCCGAAAGTAGTCCACTTTTTTGAAGCGGTTACTTCCCTTTTGTATGTACACTAAAGCCGAAAAATTCAGGGGAGATCACTGCGTAAAGATGGTCAAAGACAGGCGCATCAATTTTCAAGCACAGTAATTCCCGAATGGTCGAAGGTTTCTAATATTGTTTTATTGTATTTTCTGATCGAAAATAACTAAATACAAAGCGGACATTCAATCTCTGACACAGAAGTTTACAACAAACCTAACAACAAGTAGTTCTCAAAACAGCTTAAAACTAGCGATTTAAAAGAAAGAAATATTTTATTTTGTTACAAGTATCCAACAAATTATACCGCATTTAAAGTTAAACAATAGCGTTGGCTTATAGAATTGTCAATAAATGCACAATCACAAATTACGCGGATGAATATGATTTTATCAATGAAAATACTATTTATAACCGAATACTACACAAACCGAGTAGTGGAATATATAGATTCTACATGTCGGACTGTTTGGGCGAGAGGATTTTCGCTAAAATATTTACTTCAATTTTAAACAACAGGTTTTCCCTGAACAAAATACCTCGAAATTAATAAGGATTACAAACCCGAAATGCAATGGAAGTTCTCAATTTAGAATGACTTGATATTATTCAGACCATTTATGTATAACTTCTCCGTGGTACAGTGGTAACGCGCTCGCTTAGTGAGTGAGAGGTCTCGAGTTCGAATCCCAGTCGTGAAAATTTTTTTTTCTGATAAATTCTTTTTTAAGTGTTTTTGTTAAGGAAGTAGCCATGATATGCAAGGATAAAGTGTGACTGTCGTAAAAAATGAACATAAATAATTTTTTGATGCAACTCTAGTAATGCAGAATTCCGTATGTATCAAACTCTGGTGCCTTGCAAAATGAATTATAATACATAAAAATAAACCTATACAGGAAAATGCATACATATATACAGTACGATTTAGATCGCAAAGATCAGAAAATACCACAGAACTTGCAGCACTTTGATTTTTTATAAATATAAATGCTTATAGTAAGCTCCAGGATTATTTACATCTGTGTTAAACAACAGTTAAAGTCGTTACAAGCCCTAATTTAGAATAATATGGTTTTCTTCAGCCCGTTCACATATAAATTCACCGTGGCTGAAGGGTTTTCGGGCTCGCTTAGGAAGCGAGAAGTCTGGAGTTCAAATCCCAGTAAAGGTAACTCTTTTTTTTCAAATTGTTAAAGTCAAATAAACATTGGATTGAATATCAGTGTTGCAATTAGTCTTATAGCCAATTTACTACAATTAAAACGCTGGAAAGCATTGGTGGCACTATACATATAATCTCACAACCTGCACCTTTCTTACATTCTGAGACCCAAACAAATTCAGCACCTTCTGTGCTTTGATTATATATGTATTTGTTAAATCTTTACAATCAATCTCTATTGTCTAAAACTTGTTATGATAACTACAATATTGAAAAAATACACTTACAATTACGAATAAAGGAAATTTTACAGAACGAAACTAAAAATGTGAACACGCGGAAAAAATGAAGAAAAAAACAACAAATAAACATTTGATTTATTTAGTCTACGAATGTAACCAGTGCAAACTTATCATCCGGCACATCCTGCTGTTTTATCATGGTCTGCACTGTTTATTCTTGCATAGCAGACTGGCGTTTCCGTGAGATTTACCAATGCCGGAAATTCCATCTGGCATGGGGTGGGGGGGGTGCCAGATGGGTCGCGTGCCAAACAACAACGTCATTTTAGCGCACTTTATGAATGAACCGCGTTAAAATGACGTCGTTTTAGAAGGGAAATAGCAAGCCTCGTTACCGCCCAATGGGCGGATCCCCTCGGGACGGATATTCCGATCCGAACCGCAATCATAATATTATGTCAGATATTTTTTCTTGCATATTCTGCCATATTATTTCATATTTAAAATGGTTTACCTCAATATGATATATGTTCATGGAAATTAAAGTCATTTCCTCCATAATTATTTTCTTACAATAGCGTATGAACTTACAACTTAAATAACAACGGCGAAATGACGTCATCCTATGCACATATTTCCCTTCTAAAACGACGTCATTTTAACGCGGTTCATTCATAAAGTGCGCTAAAATGACGTTGTTGTTTGGCACGCGACTCATCTGGCACCCCCCCATGCCAGATGAAATTTCCGGAATGGGTAAAACTCACGGAAACGCCAGTCTGCTATGCAAGAAATTATTAATATCGACATGTACAAAATGTCACCTTGTAATCTGTGCCTCTCAAATAGAAATTCTGTTCTGTTCTGTTCGTTATTCAGTCAATATGTATTTTTAAAAAACAAAATCCTTAAAATGATAAATGGTTTTGTCCAGATTGCGAGATGAATTGAATATAGCGAAGTGAAGGTCAAATTGGGAAAAATTCCGTTACATATGAATATGTACATTTTTCATTGTCTTATATACTATAATTTTAAGCTCTCCGGAACACTGTGCTTAGAGGTGAGCTTTTGTTATGGCAGTGTTAAACTACAATGTCCAGAGCTCAGATAGCTGGCATGAAGCACTACCTAGTGGACTTCTGTAGAAAAAGTTGTATACATGTATTCACTTTATTTACATTGTTATTTATTTATTTCATCTTCCTAGATTTTTGTATAGTAAGCATACTTTTAAATATTCTACTTTGACGCCACAATTCCCAGATCATTAGATATCTGGTATATAGCGTCACCTTGTTGTCTTCTACAAAAGTTATATTAATTATGTCCCTGAGATCAAAAACTGCCATCGCAAATAGGTAAACAATATAAAATCTTCGTGTGGAAAAGTTATATACCTTTGCAAATCATGTCCCTGAAGTCAAAATTGGCCCCTCCCTGATGGTGTCCAAGTATTGGTTTCTTTTATGAGAAAGTAAAAGTATTTCTATTTGTGAGAAACATTGCTCAGTCCGAGGAAGAAATTTTAAAAAGCCGTTAGTATTTTATTTCTGCACCAATTTCTTTTGGGGTAATTTGTGTCTTCTTTATTCAATTATAAATACGTCATTAAAGCCAGCATAACAACAAAGTTGCTAACATATTACAGCTTTAACTACACTCGATACAATTACAATTTAAAGCGTGAACTACAACATTTTGAAGCATGTCTGTGATAGGTCTGAGATCAGGTTAGCTGCAATTGCATTTTAAGCGCTTTAATTGTTCATTTACTTATTTCTGTAATCAACACTAACTCCTTGGTAGATCCGCGGTTGCATTTTATCGATATGGTATGTTTATTTACATTTATTATATGTTGCTACATATTGAATGGTTAAAGCTGCATGCCTCCAGATGAAAGAATATCTAACTTGAGAAAAATGTACTTAGATTTAAAGAAAAGTTTAAAAAATCAAGACTCAATTAATAATTTACATGTAATATGCGTTTTGTGACAGATATATAGAGGATATTTGTTTAGTTCAGTGTAAGATCGAAATATATTTCACCGAGTGAGCACCAAAAGGTATATTTCACGAGTGGCGCAGCCACGAGTGAAATATGAACTTTTGGTGTTCACAAGGTGAAATATATTTCGATCTTACAATAAACTAAACAAATTTTCTTTTTATTACATGCAAAGAAACGTTTTAAAAAGGCATTAAACTTAATACTGAATGAAAAGCGCGCCAAATAATAATACAATGTGACGTCATTTACGACGTCACGTCATTAAGTTGGTACCCAGTACTGTGCACGCTGGTATTTCACTGAAACAACGTAAGGGGCTTAAATTCAAAACAGTGAAATTATCAAAGTGGTAATTGCACTCTTTCAAACAGTGAAATTACCAATTTTATATCACTGATATATTTCTATAAACCACCGAAAAGCATTTAATAATGTGTTATTTATCACCACATTTGTACTGGGTGAGTAACACACTTAGGTCTCAGGTCACATATTTTGACCTATTTTTAGTAATGTCCGTAGATTTTAATTACAATTTGCTATGTGTAAATTACTTTCTTTGTTTACTTGACAGTATTTCACTTTTTGATACATTTTCAAAATATCCATGAAAATAAGCATGCATCTGGAGGCATGCTATTTAAGGTTGCCGACTTCAAATCACTTGCCTAACCGCTGTGAGTTCGAATCCCGTCATGGCATTCAAGTCAGAGACATTGGTTCTTTCATATGAAGAAACTATCTAGCTAGCTTACAGAAGGTGGATGGTTCTATTCAGGTTCCCACTCGTCCCCGAAACAATGCATTAAAAGGCGCCTGGTGTCTTCCTCAAACAGTTAAGCTTAAGCTGGAAAGACCTTTACAACTCAATAAAAGAATTTTCTGAACAATCATGTCCTTACAACGATACCGGAATTGAATCTGAAACTTGGATTTGGATATCCGTCTTTTTCTTCAATATGAAGATATTTTATTACCACCATTCTCATTTTCCACTCACTGGGAATTGAAATGTTTTAATTATCTTTAATCTTTTTTTTTCATATATGTATATAACACAACTTTTCATTAAGCATATCAATGCACAAGAAGAAAGACAATAAAACAATGATATATTAATTAGCGTTTAATTCAATTAGTTATGACTAGTGAAATTACTAAGTAACACATATATAATACATGCACTTATTAGACAAATATCTTATATTCTTTAAAGCTAAAATGTTTTACCTATTAAATATCAAATATTGTTTAATATTGTATTTTTCTCTTATAGTCACACCACATTACAATACAAGAATCACGTTGACCAACAACGTATCTTATGATGATGTAACGTTATATATCTGTATCACAGATTTCACTATCCACTGTACTAATCGTCATATGAGTGTCGAAGCTTACTTAACATTCTCATCTGATCTACCACCAACGTGTTAATTCCCGTTGAATCTAAGTTTTCATCGTCCGTCCGTAGCCACCGACTTTTCTTCATTTCTTCGATGTCTACCTCTATCAGTTGTCTCTCTAGGTTGCGACGACGTAGTTTGTTTCGTTTCGGTTTCTTCGGAGACTTTTTCCTCCGAACTGTCTTTATCTTAGGCGCATTTGGGTCATATACGTAATTTGGGTTTTCCTTAACGTAACCGTCTACCTTTTCTAAGAAGTTGTCAATTTTTTCTTCAAGATATAATCCAGTGGCTACTTCGCTAAGTATCATACCTTTCTTCATTTCTTTGTGAAGATCATCGCCCAATGTGTTGTCTAGAACATCGGTGTAGTTAGTTGTAGAGTTTATACCTTCCCTTATAGAGCGAAATGGCTTTGTTTTTTTCTTATCCTCCGGTTCCTTTTCATGGCTTGAGAAAGGTGACCTCGTTTTACCTTCCTTAAGTAAAGTAGAGGCACGTTGAATATCAATAACAGATTTTTTACGAGTTTCTAAAGCTAGTTCCATGGCTGTTTTAGGACGATTTTTCTTGTGAATTGCGCCGAAATCTGTAACCTGAGTGGCTGGGACGCTCATTGGCCTTATTTTAGAGGGCCCAGAATAACTATGATTAACTTGCTCTTCTGTACACAATCTATTCTGACCTTCCTCTGTTGGCAGCTGCAAAAATGAAGACTTATTTAGCGGACTTTCATTAGAATCTACATTGGTCACTTTTATAACCGGAGAACTAGGTTTCTTAATATCATTTGCTGTAGATCCAGAGCCCGTTTTTGCTTTATCTGTACTGTTGATCGTTAAGTTATTTCTAGGTTTGCTAAACGAATTTTTGCGTTTACTTACTCCTACATCCGTAATAGTTATTACTGGACTAGGAGCGCGTGCATCAGAGTTGTGTTCTGAATCTTTTAATTCAATTTTATGAATATCAAGTCCATTACGAGAAGTTGTACTACCTTGTATTGAAATGTTATCATAAACATCTGTCTCTTGTATAACAGCTACACTCGGTATTTTAAAAGTCTTTATATCTTCATCAATACATCGGATGTTGATAGATCTCCGTCTCTCTTCACGTACAGATTTTGGCACAATGTAATCACCTTCCTCGAATTCAATCTCAGGTTTTGGTGATATCGATTTTCTCGGGGTATTTGACTTATTGGACTTGGAATGTGTTCTTAATAGCTCTCTACGCGGCGTTGCCTCAGGGGTACGTGGCGTTGCCGATGGAGTTCGAAAACGTCGTGCTGATCTTGGTGTTTTAAGAATTAAATCCATATTTTTCTTTTCTGCTTCTGTTCGACTGGACTGTAACCGTGGTACAGCACTTTTAGCTCTTGGCATTAGTTTTAGTCTCTTTTCAGCTGCAATTATCTTTACATTTATATCGGATGAAGGAAGATTTATCTTTAACTTTCCCTCTTCTTCTAGCTTTTTGAGTTCGTCCAGTTCATTCACGCTGAGGTGAGATTTTATTTTGGACACTTTATCGTGTAACCGTTTATATTTCACTTTTACAACTTTTTGATCTAGATTTATTAAACTGATATTGTAAGATTTTTCTAAATCCAGAGCCCGCATTTTCTTTTCTAAGCATCGCAATTCCTTAAAGTTCATAAAGATCGCGCGAGTTTCTTTTTCACTTGATTCAATCATGTTGTCAGTTTTTTTCTGTTTGTCTCATAAGACTTGTCATTAAACACATAGGTCCATTTCTATTGTTATATTAGTCCACTTAACATTTATCATACAGACATACATAAAAAGTGCTTGCAGCTATCAAATATCATGTATATATGTCTGTCTGTCTGTTCACTTTAAATAGTATTTTTAAACTTCCGTAGCAATTGCTATAATAAACGTTCAGGTTGTGCTTATCTAGATGAAATACATGATAATATGCATCACATCATCGAAGAATAATTGTCATCGAGTTTCTTCGACAGTACGTCTATTACTGTGTAGGTATCTTTGACAAATCTGAAAAAAGAATTAAAGAAACGTTGTCGTTATAATCTGGACATACAAATGTTGTTCCACAAATTATTAGGTTTTATTTTTCTGAAATGATTTAACATAATGTGATGAATAGCTGCCCTTCTTGAACCCAAATTGTTGTTTTTTTCTTGCACAATCCTGACTTGATATCCGATTGACAAAGGATGAATTGATGTTATTTTACGCTATGTGCTTTTGGTCCATTGAAATATATGTATATTTTGATTTTCTTCAGTTATTATTTAATTATTATCTGGCTGTGAAATTTTAACAGTGTTATGACGATACTTACTGCATATTCATTGATATAAACATAATCATTCAATATTTTATTAACACTGCTCTTTGATCATCACCTTTTATTCTGAATATGAAAAGACCTGCGAGCAACGACCGTAAAAAGCTATGAAGTCCAAACTACAATATAACCTAACTTCAATAATTGTAAACCAAATAAAAAGAATGCGAAAATTTGAACTCTCGTAGAGTATTATTTCTTTATGAAATATAAAATGAGACTATTTGGGAATAAGAACACGCGCATTTTAAGCTCCAGGGAGAGGACAAAGCTGATATTTCCTCTCTAAATAACATTTAAATAACCGACATTATAGATTTCTGTTTAAAAACTATTGTCTAAATAAGAATGAATGAATGAATGAATGAATGAATGAATGAATGAATGAATGAATGAATGAATGAATGAAATGGTTTAATTCACTTTTTAAAGTTTTAGTAAAAAAAGAGTGATGAAAAGTAAAACAAGATAATTTGTTCATGAGAATGCAGACGGCTTTACTATAAATTATACAAGTATATACAATGACAATATCTTATTTTCCTATGATATTTTATGCAATTTCATATATCAAACTGTATAAATTTGAGAGACAAATTGTACCAAACTATTGTGTACGAGTCGTTATAAAAATTCTTTACTCTACATATGAAAACACTATTGATATTTAAGAAGTATTACAATTATTCTAGTACAATTAGAATCTTGTTAACATAACAAAGTAAATTTAATCTATTTTAATTCTTTAACGCGCCTTACAAGTTTTCCTTGTTTACCCGGTTTTACAAAATATTTTATTTATTACCTTTCCCATGCACTGTTTTAAAGTACTAATCTCCTTTAATATCCTAACAAACAACTTATAATATAAACACTATATAACATACGTTAGTTACTTAAGACGAATTTATAAATGTGCATATTTTTATTAATTCAATACGGCGCTTTGAAGATTAACATGTATATACGATGAATTTATCAATGATGAAATTAATTGAATTCATAGTAAACTATGATAATTATAGGTCAAATTACGAAAATGATTTAAAGAAAAAATATCATTATTTGCATGGCATCTCGGGTGAACATTTATACCGTTAATTAAAAATCATTGATTCGTCAAACGGTTTTGTAAATTTAGAATTTATATTAACAGCTATATCATTATGGCTGCTCTGTGACGCCTTTCGACTTTGGGGATGTTCATCAATATGTCTACCATTGTAATTTTCTTGCTATTCCTGTCTTCTTTAAATTTTTACAATGATTATAATAAAATTCCCAAAATCTGTTTACTTATAAATAGCATATTGTCCCGATTTTCCATAAAGATATTGTAAAGAGGTGACACTAATATTGTATATTATTTTTTACATCATTTATCGCATTGTATAGGTGTTTTCGCGCTGTACGAGTACTAGTAGATAAAAGTTTTACTAATCCCTACGTAATAATCCCTTTATAATTTTTATATATGTATTTGTTAAATCTTTACAATCAATCTCTATTGTCTAAAACTTGTTATGATAACTACAATATTGAAAAAATACACTTACAATTACGAATAAAGGAAATTTTACAGAACGAAACTAAAAATGTGGACACGCGGAAAAAAAATTATTTATTTGCATTATTAACATTTGATTTATTTTTAAATTCAATTTTACGGTAGTTCTTGATAACTAAAATATTTCTTGCGATATTAAGCAAATAATAATGTCTATATGTAGTCGACAAATTTCTCAACCTTTAACCTGCTGTTGACCACTGAGTCTACCAATGTAACCAGTGCAAACCTATCATCCGGCACATCCTGCTGTTTTATCATGGTCTGCACTGTTTAATATTGACATGTACAAAATGTCACCTTGTAATCTGTGCCTCTCAAATAAAGATTATGTTCTGTTCTGTTCTGTTCGTTTTTCAGTCAATATGTATTTTTGAAAAAAAAATCCTTTAAATGATAAATGGTTTTGTCCAGATTGCGAGATGAATTGAATTTAGCGAAGTGAAGGTCAAATTGGGAAAAAACGCCGTTATGAATATTTACATTTTTCATTGTCTTATATACTAGAAATTACAACAGTTTTAAAATAATGCATTTAATGCATTTCTTTTCTAAAATGTTTTAAACAAAAATATTGATAAAAGAAAACGTACACGGGGTCCTTGACATGCTCTCTCCCTTTTATGATTCATATAGCAGATTCAACCATTCATTAGCTTTAGAAAGTTTGTTTTGCCTAATATATATTTATCAATATCAAAGATTCCATATAGACTATATAATAATGAATACAATTCATACTTACAAAACTGTTGAATGAATATATCTACCACAAAAAAACGACTAGATTTCGCCGTAAACAATCCATTCCATATCTTAATTTGTTCAACAATATATTTTTCTGAGCTTATTATAGCATGACTGAAATAATGCAATGATATTGTGTACAAAGATTTAATCTGTTCGGCAGAAAGAAACACTGATTAACAAACGAAATCCCAGCATGATCACTGTCGGATCAGTGCGGGTGAAAATCGTGTTATGGCGGATTAGACTTAATGTCGTCCGGACATTTTTTAATACCCGTGTTGCTAACTCATGTAAACATGTATTTTATAAATTAAATTATAACATTATAGTAACCATAATTGAGCCGTGTCACGACAAAACCAACACAATGGGTTTGCGACCAGCATGGATCCAGACCAGCCTGCGCATCCGCGCAGTCTGATCAGGATCCATGCTGTTCGCTTACAAACCCTATAACAAGTAGAGAAACTGATAGCGAACAGCATGGATCCTGATCAGACTGCGCGGATGCGCAGGCTGGTCTGGATCCATGCTGGTCGCAAACCCATTATGTTGGTTTTGTCGTGACGCGGCTCATATCATATCTAGCTCGTGCAGAATCCGTCACATCCGGAGTTAGAATAGTAACAATCATTTAGGCCGCTGTAATTGGTACCAAAATATGACGACTTCAATACACGACGTTTCCAAATCTGGCCATTGGACGGAGAAGAGTGAAGGGTTTTTCATACTGATTTACATGAAGTTTTATGGACAGAAAGGTACAGCAAATTCATCTGATTGATTTAAACAGTGGTACCAGATATATACTGCAATCATATAGATAGACGTGTCTATTTTTTCGTTCGACTATTCAAATAATAATTAAAATTAAAATTGTTTTACGACCCGTGAACAATATAGACAAGGTTTAATTAATATACATGAATACATGAACTAGATTTACTCTTATCTTGTCATAATTAAAGGGTTTCCATGGTAACAGGTCCTTCTTCAGAATGAGTTGTTTTTCAAAACACTATTTGTCTCTTGTCAGGATATACATGTATTCCTATAAAAAATAAAATAGTTTATGATAAAAAATAATATATTCTTTAAGTAAAAACAGTAAAAATGTAAAATGTATAAGCAACAAAAATAAGTTTTTAAACAATGTTTATAGTGTAAATAGGTTGCATATTTAATTATAAAATTATGTTATAGTTGTATTTTGTCCCTGTAAATAAAAAGTGACCTCCGATCCTTTTATCTACCTTCCTTGATATTTTGTAAACTCATCATACTGATAGCGAGACTTGACTAATCTGAGACAGACGGACGGACAGACATTTATCTGTAAGTACAAAAGATAGCGTTGTGTTTTAAGTGTGCATTTGGTTCTTACACGCTCAATGATTTATTTGGTATTTTTCCAACTGTCCTTTTGTTTTATGATTCGCACTTCATAAATTTATATACAACTGTTAAACATAGTTATACATTTTAATGTCTCCTTTGAATAAAACAGAAGTGGTAAAATAAACATAAATTAATAAAATGAAGACATATTGATATGTATACAGCGGTAATACAAACAAATCGGAGGGGATTTCGATCCGCACTGCCACGTTATGTAAGTTTATCTTGATTTTTTTTACTGATACTTAATAAATCATATTTTACGAATGATAAAACGAAATCTACTTGAAAAATGTAGTTGTTCTTCCTATTTACATGTTTTGATTACGTAATAAAAATCAATTTCAAATATTGAATTATTTATACATGCATGCATTTTTATTTGTTCGCAACTGTCGTCTGCAAAAAATGCAACACATACAACACTGGATTTTTAAAAACCCAAAAATCAACAACGTCTATAAAAGAAATGAACACATATTAAGTGCTATATCTTATTTTCTACCCAGCTATTGAATACCGGTCGGCTGTATAGTGTTAAATACTTCTTATAGAATTCTACAGGCCATATATCAATTTTATTTCTATTACTGTCATACTTGTTGCAAAAGCTGCACTATTGATTCGCTCCTAGCATAATGTACATACTATATCTGTTCGAACTAGATATTTTTTACTACTAAAACGAACAAATTGAACAAACAAGTGTGTGTTTTTATATACATTATGTATTATAATAACACAATATATCATAAAATCAGTTGCTAAACATAACGTATGTTTAAATGATTTTTGATACAATTGTAAGGGTTTTACTATGCAGAAATTAGCACATCTCGTGTTATGTACAATTAAGATATATAAAGATGTTCAAAAGTATGTGTAAAATAGAATGTAATAATATTATAGTGGATATTTGTTTAGTTCAGTGTAAGATCGGAATATATTTCACCGAGTGAGCACCAAAAGGTATATTTCACGAGTGGCGCAGCCACGAGTGAAATATGAACTTTTGGTGTTCACAAGGTGAAATATATTTCAATCTTACAGTAAACTAAACAAATTTTCTTTTTATTACATGCAAAGAAACGTTTTAAAAAGACATTAAACCTAATACTGAATGAAAAAGCGCGCCAAATTTACAACGTCACGTCATTAAGTTGGTACCCAGTACAGTGCACGCTGGTATTTCACTGAAACAACATAAGGGGCTTAAATTCAAAACAGTGAAATTATGAAAGTGGTAATTTCACTATTTCAAACAGTGAAATTAACAGTTTTATATCACTGATATACTTCTATAAAACACCGAAAAGCATGTAATAAATCACGTTATCTACAATTTATATAAAAAATGTGTATGTATATTTTTGCATGGACCGGAGGCTTTAAAACGAATATAGTTTTTTTTTTTGGCGTCACAAGTATGTAAGTATATTTATATGTTTAAATTTTTTACTATTTTGTTTTAACCAATACCTTCATAGTGTATGTTAAGTCTGTGATCTTTGGTCAAGTAGTCTATGTAATAATTATTGTTTGCCAATCGCAGCTTTGGGGTCGCATATTTATTGTCAAGGGCGTGGTATTAAAGAATCTGTCTGGCATGAAAAGGCATTTGTAAGCCAAATCTTTCCGACGAAAAATGGTTTCTTAAAACTAACTTTCATCATATTTGTACAGTCCGTGGTCACTTATTACAATAAATACGGTAGTTTTATTAAATACCCGATTAATTTTTATTTTAACGATTTTCTTCTTAAGACCTTATTAAACAGACATGTAATATAAACGCTTATTGAAATCGAAAGCTTGCACGTAATATTAGCTTTTGTGCTATAAATAATGTAACCAGATACAAAGCTGGATCTGCGCTTTAAAAATTAAACAAAAAGCCTCGTCTATTATCATGGACAATATCGACAATATGGTAGGCAAATTTTTATTTTTGTTCCATTATTTTAACTGAATAATGAAATAGTTTTTATCAATTTACTTAAGATTAATTATTTGAAAAATAGACAATGTATGGTGAACGTAAATTTGCGGGAGATAAGTAAAATGCTTTACTGAATATTGTTTATAATTCTAAGAGAATAGGTGCTAAACAACTCAGCGTTCGTAACGTACAATTAGTAGCCGGAAAAAATCTAGATCATCAAGAAACTCTATATCAGAAGTCACATAATATACAGGTTCTAGATACTAGTATTCTAGGACTAACTGATATAGAAATAAGCGACGTTTCAAACAAGAAACCAGACAGCTTTCATTTTCATGCGATAAATTTCTTATAATGTACCTGAGACGAGTCCAGTGTACATTTTAAATTTAACAACTTTCCTTTTATTATTTAATTAGAAACGTTTTTGCCCTGTCCCGTTTTTGTTTAGGGTTCGTCTGGGCTCCTTGCCACTGGTTCTTGTTGCTTGGTCGTTTGGGGTTGCGTTCATTGAACGCCGCCCTTCCTTGTTGATCTTGTTTATCATATTTTTTTAATCGTTCATCAAAATCTCGAATTCTAAGTGATCAAATTGTATTCAGAAAGTTGCAACAGAAGATTTAATAAGAGAAGATTAGAACATTAACTATTAGAGCAAGGGTGTCACGAGGAATTCAAACAAATACATATAACCACTTTGAATATTAAAATAACACAAAGGATATTATCGCTGATAAATCTTTAATTCATATACACAATGCATGATCATATATTATGTAAAGATCAGTATTTAAGGAATATTCTAATTTTATTTAACAACAACTATTTATGTATATAAAGGAGGTGATAAACACGGATACAGATGATGTGGAGGCGTCCAAGGGTTATGATAACACAGTGACCACTATCCACCCGATTATCCCGGTCTTCAAACGATGCAGGGACGCTGACATAGGTAAATATGCTTGACAATAAAAACGATCATTATAATGTATGGTCATGAACTAAATCATGCGTTCCACCTTACCACTGAAGTCTCAGTAATCAAATCTAAAAAAGCCACACCGACAAGGAGGATTTCGACCATCACCTCTTCTACAACATGAGACGACGACTTCCACAATTGTTTCTACGTCAATAAAAAGGCTAATACTACGTCTTCTACGGGTACGATTACGACCATGACTTACACGACTGCCACCACGACTACACCGACAACAATTACGAATACGACCATAACTAATGGACAACGTCAATGATAATGACTTTTACGACAAGTACGGCTACAGGTCTTGTAAGAAAATAACGACAGGGATTTCAGTATTCTGTTTCGTTACACCCGACTTCTTTTAGGATAAACGGACAGACGGACAACGCTATAACGTTAAGCATTCTTTTTGCATTAGTTCAAGAGTGATTAGATCAACATGTTGCGCAGTATTTTTTACACTAGCATATTTTACAGAAAAGGGATCACTTTGAATGTAAAATTATAACCTGGGTGTCAGTCACTCAAAATTTGAAATAATTAAAAAAAACTATATATTTCACACTTAAAATTTAAGGTATACTTACATATTCTTGTTGGCTATCCTGAATTTTAAAACATTGATGTTTTATTTTCAATAAGCAAAAACATATCAAATAATGGTTATTATAAAGAGTAAGCATTTTTTCATTTGATTTGAAAGCAACGCGGAACTCGTTACAAGTTTATCATGATGATCACAATTGGATAAAATGAATTTGAGAGTGTCAGCTGTAAAATGTTGTCCCATTCTTCATCTCAGTGTTGTAGTAATTTCCTTCGGGTTAATTGATTACATTACTTTTACTTGTTGAGGATCGGATACCGCATAAACCGGTGCTAGGGGGCGTGAGAGATTTTTTCATTATATCTCATTAACAGTCTCAATCAAACAATAAAAACGACAAGAACAGAACGTATAAAAGTGTCATGATCCCGTTAAATCTTTGTGAAGGTGGAGCCAGCACTTTTTTCTATAAGAAATTAACTTCAAAGCAATTCTGATAGATGCATAACACGAAGGCTTCTTATATATAAAGTATGCTATTCATTAATCTTATATTACCCGACCTTTCCCTTTAAATCCCATTAAAATGCCCATACAGTAGTGTGATTTATTGCAAATATAGAAAAATTAGTACATTTGCACGCAAAATGAGAAACAAACCGCATACGAAAGCTGTCCGGAAAATTCGTAGACAAGGCTATAAAATTATTATAAGCAGTCATATCAATACGATGATTAAATATTTTGCTTAATTATTTATTCTGCTACATACTTGCAAATTAAAAAAACATCATTAAAGTAATATTCGCAAAGCGCCAATCACCATGGCAACATGATCACTGAATCACGGAGCATTTTGATTTCATGACGATAGCTACTCGAATAAAAAGTTGCTAAAAGTTGTAATTTGAACGCAAACTCTCGTTTTAATTTTGTGACATCAAAAGGTACTATTGCATGATATTTAGTGAACATTATGACGTCATACGCAAAGAAACAGCTTGTTAACGACGATTATAGGTAATGAAGTTGTGTAAGTTTTCTGTTGCAAAAATGACTTCAAATTCAAGGATGGAGCAACGTAATGCTTTTTAAATTCATAGCAACGCTAATAATGGCACCAACTGAGATTATAATCTTTACAAAATCAACCATAAATTGTGATGGGCAACTTGTGTTTAATAGCAAACAAGATTAAGAAGCGGTGATGACAGTATATCGTATAAGAAACGTATCAGATGACCAACAGTAGCATGGCCGAAATGTCGTAGATTGCGTTACAATAATCTTTGAAAAAGACAGACATCTCACACTGTATGAAAACCAGTGACATCTTTGTGTTTTTTTTTAAATGTAGTATATAAAATTCATAAAGTAATAGTCAGGGAACATTACATGTATTAAGTACACGCCAGACAGTTACCATGGCTGTTGAAATCGGAAGAAATTGAATAGTGTGTAAACATGAAGTTAATTTGACGCCGTTTCATTTCACTTCATTTTTTTAATTCAGCACATTCACAAGGACATACAGTTTTCACAACCGTTTTCGTCATAAGCATATGCGAAATACATTGTTGTAACACTTTAGGGGTGACATTTTCAACACGTCATAGGTAGGACAGTTAATGTTCCAATGTTATGGCTACTTAATTAATTGGTCTGTTTTGTCACTGAGGTGAAAATATGGTTCCTACTCATTCTGTTACAAGCCCATAGTTGTTCCCAACTCCAGTATTTGCCAAAATCAAAATCATGATACAGTTAGAAAATATTAGATAAGCAGGACACAAACGTACAGGTCTTAAAATGCATTTACCATCACATTTCAGAAAATATCGGGTTTTCATACAAGCCTACTGGACGTCACCAACAACGGAAGAGTGTAGATGATTCTGCCATGAAAAGCGTCACACTGCCACCATTACAACGTAGTGTCACTGATCTAGGTATCTCTTGTTATATACTTTACCTAAAATGAACCGCGTAATGACAAAACCAACATAGTGGGTTCGCGACCAGCATTGATCCAGACCAGCCTGCACATCCGCGCAGTCTGATCAGGATCCATGCTGTTCGCCTACAAACCCTATAACAAGTAGAGAAACTGATAGCGAACAGCATGGATCCTGATCAGACTGCGTGGATGCGCAGGCTGGTATGGATCCATGCTGGTCGCAAACCCATTATGTTGGTTTTGTCATGACGCGGCTCAAATATGTTTCAACATCAGTCATTCATTTACAAAATAGAGGATTTTTCAAAGTAGGCAATAAACGCAGCATATAGATAAAAAAATCAGATTCGATATTCGTGGGTTAAACTGTGCGTAAAGAATGGGAACTTAAATAAACGTAAATAAATTATTGATATTTTATTTTAATAAAATAGTCTTAAGTTACATTCTAAGATCTGTGGTACACGTTTTTAGATTGTATTTTTTGTGTTTAGACAATGTAATGTCATATTGTTACAGGAGGTTTACGGACAATGTATAAAAAGCCCAAATCCCCAACACCTAACTTTACAATGATCAATCGCAGAGATCCAAATTTAATGAAAACACCAAACGTTAACTCTCTCATCACCATCTCCAAACCAATTCCAAACTTACTTGACAGACCAAAGAAAGAAAACAAGGAAGAGGCTCCGAAGAGAAATCTAAGTATTTGGAAAAATGAAGTAAAAAAGTAAGTATCGCATTTTTGGCATGTCCTTTTTATCTTTAAAATATTGAAGTTGGCACCAAGACAGTACTTTAAAAGATAATTTATGTTAGTTCGACTCACTCGTCCGTTTTCTTTGACTGTTGATTTGTGTTTGCGCTCTTCAGAGCGTCTATTCAAATCCCACTTTCATCTTTAGTTACGAATTTGAAACGCATGTATGAATACAGGGCAAAAATCATTATGACATAGTAATTTAAAATTGGACTTTTTTCTGTTTTAACAGTTATGGTTTTAAAGTACAGTAATGATGCATTCGAGCGGGTTTATTTAATTGAGTCAAATTAATTTACAAAATTATGTTTCAATTTTGTAACCATGACTTTTCCGAAAGCACGATCTAAAGGTGGGGCTCATGAAGCAAAAACTTTCGCTGAATTACCCTTAATAATATTTTGTCCAAAATAAACTCAAAACTATTGGTTGATAGACTTATTAAATGGGCTGATAGACATGAAAAATTTATTGATAATCAATATGGTTTTCAAAGGAATAAGTCAACTATTGACTGTATTTTTGTTCTACATGCTATAATAATAAAGACTTTGTCGAGTAAGAAGAAACTCTATAATATGTAGCATTTCTAGATTGGGAGAAAATGTTTGACTGCATTGATAGGGTTTTATTATGGAGAAAGTTACTGAATGAAAATGTTAGTACAAAATTTCTTACTGCAATCAAGTCAATTTATGGTTCTGTTAAATCTTTTGTGAAATATAAAAACTGATTCAATTCATTCTGATCTAATTAATTCTAGATTGGAGTAAAACAGGGAGATCCAGCAAGTAGCATATTGTGTTTATTTTTCCTCAATTATATATTTAATTATATAAAAAGGAACATTCCTGTTATTGTTAACATTGATGATATACAGGTATTTTTGTTGTTATTTGCAGACGACGCTGTAGTTTTCACACATGATCCAAATTCATTACTATCTATCTTGAATGATATAGAACATTATTGCAATATGTGGAATCTGAAATTAAATGTGTCTAAAACAAAAGTAATTATTTTTGAAAATGGTAGACATACATCTTATGATTTCTTTTTGTATGACACTATAATTGAAATTGTAGAATCTTTTAAATATTTAGGTGTGTATCTTTTTAAAAATGGAAACTGGAACAGAACTCAAAGATATATTGCGCAACATGCGTCATATTCACTACATAATTTATTTATTGTATGCAACCCGGTGGAACTTCCAGTTTCCCAAATGATAAGTTTATTTGATAGTATTATTTTACCATCATTAAATTATGCTGCAGAAGTGAGGGGGATTCACGCTGGTCCGAACATAGAAATTATACATACAAAGTTTTATAGAAGATTATTATGTGTGAAACAATCAACCAATGTAGATATGTGATATGGTGAACTTGGTCGTACACCAATGTCCATTCATAGAAAAACTCATATTGATCAAATACTGGTTAAAATGAACTATATTGTATAAAATTTATATTATGTTAAAAACCGATGCCGACAATGGTGTAACTTATAGTGGTAAAAACTGGGCATATACCGGTACTGTGAAGACTATTTTAGAACAAACGGGCTTGTTTTATATGTGGGGAAATCAGTTTACTATACATATAGATTTTAGTATTATTAACCAACGAATTTTAAACATATTCTATCAAAGTTGGTATTCCTCAATAATGACTCGTCTAGATTAGATACATAGTGTTTATTTAACCCAATTTTGTGCAAAATGGCTGTTTTCATTGAAAAGTCTCCCGTTACAAGTTCAAATTGCTATAAAACTATAAAAACTGCTTCAATACTAATCAAACTTGGCACAAGTGTTGACTGGACCATTGCCTTTGCAACAACATGCTCAGGCTTAAATTTCCTGTTACCATGGCAACGAGGGGACATCTCAAAATTGCCCAAAAATCACAATTTTCGTTGATTTTTTCCATCAAAATTGACTTTAAAGTGCTGCAACTTCTCAATGGATTGAGATAGAGTCAAATGCTTTTCAGCGTTGTTTACACGTTATCTTATGATCGACCTGGGGTCATTTTTAGCCTTGCACAAGTCCAAAATCTTCTTGGCGATGAGGGGTACTCCGCCCCCTTTAAACCCCCCAAACAAAAGGGGGCACATCCCCCTTCTGGCAACCCCCTGATGTATCTTTTGGTTGGGGCCGCGCCGAAAAAGTGGTCACTTTTTTAAACAACATTTCTCAAACAAAAACAAGTGTTGGGGGCCTAAATTAGGCATTTTTTTCACCATTTGAGACACCAAAAAGGGGGGGGGGGGTGAAAAAGGCGTTAAAAGGCGTATATATCGCGTAATGGGTTAACAGAAAATTCGCTTACAAACCATATTACAAGTGTAGGGAAACTGATAGCGAACAGCATGGATCCTGATCAGACTGCGCGGATGCGCAGGCTGGTCTGGATCCATGCTAGTCGCAAACGCATTACGTTGGTTTTGTCATGACGTGGCTCATTTATAGTTGTAGTTGTAGATTGACTGGTGTGACTTTTATACCGTTAAACATTTTATAACCGATTTCTTTTCAAAATGTGTTTCAGAGTTGTTCCATCACGTCCTGCGATAGCTATTAACTCTGATTGGAAAGCGCCACCTGCCGACTGGGACGACAGGGATCAATATATCTACGGACCTAAACCAATATTTTACAAGAATAATAAATACCCGGAACACAAAGACTTTGTTGTAAATCCAGAATGGTTGTCCGAGTTCATGACGGTGTCCACCTACTCCCAGGCTTATCGAACCTGTGCTCTTAGGTACGGATGGTGTGCCTAGAGCCGTTACTTTCATAAATATATCCTCTGTTAACTTATATGTTGTTAATTATAGACGTTATTACGATTAAAATGTGAAGCAAGTGATCATTTAATCCTTATTTAGCAGCAAAACAGTATAATTATGTTTTTTATTTGTACTGTTTTATTATGGTGGCATATTTCTGCCACCAGATAACCATTTAACTAACTAGTTAATTAAGAGATTAACTAGTTACGTAACTAGTTAACCTTTTAATTCACTTTGTTAGTTAAGTGGTTAACTAGTTACGTAACTAGTTAACCTCTTTATATTAACCTGGTAAAAATTTAAAAATAATAAAAGGATGGCAGTTGTAGGCACTAACATGCATTTAATTCCCGTTATGATCTTTTATTTATTGTAAAGAAAACTAGTTACGTAACTAGTTAACCTTTAAATTAACTAGTTCGTTATATGGTTATCTGGTGGCAGATATATGCCATCATATTTTATACTTAATTTACAAAAAAAATATTGTAAGCAAGCAATATAATAAAAAAAAATATTGGGAAACATCCACAGATGAGTTTCAATGGCGGTAATTGTGACACATTCGTGCAATTTCATGAAAAGCGGCGTATGGCCCCCAAGTAAATGTATAGAAAACGAGAAAACAATGGGCGGAGCTAAACAAAATGGAATTTCGAAAGGGGATCAGAGGCTATGAAGTTTTCATATCATAGATAAGGTGTCAAAAATCATTCTAAAACAAATACTAAAATATAATTATGTAATATATATGAGAGTCAATAAGGCAGATCAAAGGTCAAAGAACGCAGACCTTTTTCCTGAACTATTCGGCTACACAGGAACAGTAGTAAGATGGGTTCAGAAATTAAGGGGAGGCAAGACAATCCATTTATAATTTTATAGGAGTGAAAATTGTTCCCCTTTTGTTATTTCAATACTAGTGCATTGTGTATTAAGAAGTTTATCAATTAAATACACCTTTGCATCAATGTGAAAATATATGTTATAATACTTGATTTTTGAAGAGATTTGGTGATATAAACTGGTTTTTGGTAAACCATTGTTATTGTTTAAAATGACAGAAAAGTATACCGGAAAGTTGTCAATATGAATTAACAACAAACAAAAACACTTTACTTCAACATATAGGGATACAATATAGTAATAAATTTGGCATTACTTAAACAAGTGTTATGCTTTTTAAATAGAGGAAAACGGAAACCTTATAGAACGCCATTGGGGATACTGCAAATAAAATAGATAAAAAATCCTTCATGAAGAAAGCCCAAAGCGGCAAAATCACAAGAGCCACCACCGGGCGGGGGCAACGATCGACTTTTTACTTTTTCTAAAAGAAAACAAAGAAACGTTTGAACAAATCTTGACGTTTCCTTTCTATAATTCAAATAGGTATGTCTTGTCACATTAGTTTTGTCAACGTATGAATCCTTTCCATATATATGCGCATAAAATCAGTGAAATTTCAATAATTTATCCTTCAAAGTCAAGTTCATAAAAGGTCCAAGGTTAATTTGAGTTTGATAAACATGAAGGTCTTGTCCTTAAGAATGTTCTGTTATTATATGAAGTCAATCCATTCAATAATAGCAAAGTGACAGCCAGATACAGCCAAAAAAATTGAATTTCAATAATATTTCAAAGTCAAGATCATTTATGAGTGAATTAAGCTCAAGGTCTGTCTGGTTATTTGAAAGGGCTAATATCCTTGTTCAAGTTTGGAGACAATCCATTCAAAAATAATAAAGTTACAGCCAATTATAGCAAAAAAAGGAGAATTTGGACATTTGACCTTGAAGGTCAAGGTCATTTATGGATGAAGGTTAGTGTAGTTTACTGAAATGTCTTGTCCCAAGGATTGTTGTGACCAAGTATGAAGACAATACACCAAGAACTAAAGAAGTTATGATCTAGGTACAAGTTTGCGGACGGCAACGACAACGCCACTAGGACTATAACAATACCTCTACTTTTTTTCAAAAATAAGTCGAGCTAAAAAATGAATGGACTTGTTCTGTGTATTCTGAAATGAGCAAGCTACCGCCCACGACACTAAGCACATGAAAATGGCGAAATCTCATGAATTTCAAAACATTCCCAGATGTGATCATACAGCGTTTATCATGGAACCTTTAATGTTTGTGCCATTCCATGAAAAGCGGCGAATAGTGCCCAAGTACATGCATAAAGATTTCCTTAACGAGAAAGCAATGGATCTAAATAACACGGAACTTTGAAAGGGACGAGAGGTTAATCATCAAGGCCGTCGTTGGTGGTCCGGCCTTAGCCTGACCAATATTTGGCCAAAAATGAGTAAAAAAAAAAAAAAAAAAAAAAAAAAAACACGCATCGCTGATTCGGACAGTTCATAGTATATACATACATATATATTATTAGTTATAAAGATCGTTGACAGGTTATATGGCCCTATATAAACGGCTATTTGTAAATATAACCCGAGCCGTTAGGCGAGGGTTATATTGCAAACAGCCGTTTATATACGGCCATATAACCTGTCAACAATTTTTATTGGCGTCCGCGCCGAAGCGCGGCGCTCTTATGGAATGAGATCAGATTTTGTGAAAGGGCGACAGCAACTTCTCGAGCCTTTTAGTCGGTCATAATAAAAGCCGAAAATTCCGATCGGTATGAGGGTGCTTGATTATTAAATAAGAATGAAATGTCGCGATATGTTACAATTAATTTTCGCAATGCAAACATTTACAAATGAAATAACCTTTTCCGTCAATAAATCGCGCTCTTCGGGGTTTTTTATTTATCATTTTGTAGTACACAGTCGGTTATCATGTCATGGTATGTTATTGTTTTACATGTATCCTAGAATGATCAGTTGATGACCTAAATATTCCAAAAACCTATTTATAGATATATCTTTTTATCACTCCTATCGGTAAATGCCGGTCTCTCCCGGTCTATTTTGACCAGGATTTACTAGTGACCGGCGAATAGTACCACACGTTTATTGTCCGGTCTCTCCCGGTTTTGGAGTAGATGTTTGATATCGTTACAATTAGAAAAAAACAACAATAGCATGTTTCATTTTATCTATATGAGATAAAAACAATAAATATGTACACGGATTTATATGTAATATAAATCCGTGATATGTACAATAATTGAGAAAAAGGTACATTTTTTATGGTATTAAAATGACATTATCAACTTTGAAACATTTTATTTAATTATTCAATTTGTTATGCGTGTTTAGTAAAGATGCCGAGGAATTATTCAAAGTTACAAATTAGATTTTATGAATTATTCAATTGATCGATAATTTAAAAAATGATAAAGAAAAATACAATGTACATGTACATGGTTTAAGAATAAACAATATTATATATTGAAAGATAAACCATAATTTACTGACTTTTTCCAGTTAAGCTTTGACTTATAATCGTCGGTCAATATGACAATTGAATTCTTAAAATTTATTTTACAATTTTAATAAAAAAGAGTAGTAAAAACTCAGTATTAAAATAGCACATAAAACACAAAAAAGAATAAAAGAAAACAATATTCATAAAATTTGTATTTTTTTTAATTAAAATTAATAGATATTACAATTATTGTATAATAAACAATTATGCTCAACATGATCAACATGGTAATATAACCATTGTCATATTTTTACTAACTTAAAGTGTGAACAGATACCTTAAGGGGGTCTTCGCTAATAGCGATAACATGTACATAATAAGGGACAAGTGTGTGGTACGTGTTGATCATGCGTTACACATATGGATTATAAATGATTGCATACATGTATATCCGTTGCTATTAATAACCACGATCATAAAGAAATAACAAGTAATATTCTAATCTCTAGCATGCCAATCAAAGTTCATAATGAACAATGTCTTTCGTCCGCTCATTCATAAGTGGTATACATTTCTGGTAGTTTATAAGAATATCTTGTCATCATATGTGTACTAGTTCATCTTCACTTGCTGAATTTCTTGCTTGGACGCCCTTTGATGCTTTGCATCAATGCTTTTCTTGTAACGAATTTATAATACAGCAAGCATCATTTTTAGAGAAAAAAATAAGATTTCCTCATGAATCGACAGCAGCCGTGTATATAAAACTATATAAACGTCACGATTATCCAATGAAAAATGACGTTACAAACGTGCAGTATTATAAATAGAGGATATTGAATGAGTGTAAGTTCAATACTGAATTTATTGCACGAGTTGAATAAAATTATATTATGCAAGCCTCTGGCGAGCATAATATTATTTTATCCAACGAGTGCAATAAATTCAGTAATGAATTTACACGAATTTAATATTCTATTTATCACATACCCAAAATAAAGACCGTTTAAAGTGAAATAAGAGTCATGTTTCATTGACGCGCCTATAGTATAACGCTAATATTTAGCGCGTCTTTACACTATGTTTGTATAACGCTTATAATGACGTCACGTCAAAATATATGCACGGCCGTGCAATACCATATTTACGGAGTCGCAAAATCAGCCCGCAGAACATGTGCACGTGCACAAACTGAAACAATGACGTCATATTTTACGTCATCAAACAGTTAACTGTAAAAGTAAAAGTAGGTTGTCAGCACGAATTGCTTTATTTTTATTATGAGAGCTTAAGCGTATTTAGTACAAACGCATTTTTGTTACTATTGAAATTTGAAGACATAATACGAAAAATTCATTCCGAAAAAAAATGAAAATAAAACTTGCTTCTAGATTCTACTGCTTTGAACACACAAACAGTAAACATCTCTGTACAGAACAGTAGAAGAGTAGACAAGAATTTCAACGAAAGAACTTCAAAGTATTTGTTGTTGTTGTGTTGTTGTTTTAAATGCTACTATTAGTATGCCATTATTCATTCAGGGCCGATTATCACCTTCCGGCCCTACTCTGACATGTATTAATGTCTTTAATACACTTGGTAGATCTAATAGTAGCATTTAAAACAACAACAACAACAACAACAAATACTTTGAAGTTCTTTCGTTGAAATTCTTGTCTACTCTTCTACTGTTCTGTACAGAGATGTTTACTGTTTGTGTGTTCAAAGCAGTAGAA